AAAGTCATCCGCGTACTGCGAAACCATGACGTTATGTAATTGATGACAAATTTGATATGTGACCAAGTTAAATAAAAGAGGGGATAGCGGATCCCCTTGTGCTAGGCCTCTATTCGTCCACCTCCATTGAGACTCTTGACTATTATAAGATTTGATAACTAGATGCCTTTCATTCATAAATGACCAAAGGTAGGTACAGAATTTAGAGCCAACCTGGATATCGTCTAGTACTTTGGTAACCGAGTCAATTGACACGTTGTTGTAGGCATTTTCAATATCGAGAAAGCACGCGACTGTAGGGGCATTTTTAGTAAATCCAACTTGGATATAAGATATCAGCCTTGATAGTGCGTCCATAGATGAAAGTGCTTTTCTAAATCCTACCGTGTGTGGTGACAATAATTGGTTCTTTTCTACAAACCATTCCAACCGTCTACAGATTATTAAGTGGAAGGTTTTACAAACGCAGGAAATTAACGAAATGGGTCTCAATTTCATCTCACTGCTAAGGTTATTCGAGTGCTTAGGAATGGGAATTATTTGAATTTTACGCCATTGAAGGGGAACAATACCGTATGCAAAAACATAATTGTAAATTTTAAGTAAAAATTGTTTTCCTATATCGGGTAAATTAAATAACATTGAGAAGGATATACTGTCGTGCCCCGGAGTCGTGTCTTTCTTTTTTAAGCAATTTTCGAGTTCTTCGCGGGTAAAATCAGTTTCTAAAACATTATTTTTAGACATATATGTAGGCATATAGTTAGGGGCGTAGTCTGGCGTTAAGGTGTGTAACAATTCATTTTGTGTTTCAATCGGTATACATGACCTTTGATATTTAAATCCTTTCAGCCACTTCATCCGACGCCACATCTCAGGTGCCGACGTAACTTCATCAATTGAGACACAGAAACTATGCCAACTTTGGTTTTTTGCTTTCTTTATTAGTTTCTGAGATTCTGAAGTCGCTGTTTCTAATTTAAGTAAATTGTCTGGAGTAGGGTTTCTGCGGAAAGTGGACAGGGCTAACCGTCTTTGGGCAACAAGTTTAGATAAGTTAGGGGTCCAATAATTTTTAGGTTTAAAATTTTCATCAGGTTGGTCACTTAATTTATAAAATGGTATATGCTTATTTACCGCATATTCCAGTGTGTTTGTAAAGAAGTCATACAATTGTTGAACATTAACAGTTGTTTCTTTAAAATTAACAATTATCTCAGATATTGTTTTGCGGTAATCATTCCAGTTAGCCTTCTTAAAATTTAATTTTTTAAAGGTATGAACAGTGGTAGGTAAGATAGCTGTCATTTTAATAATAAGATGGTCACTACCCAAGTTTTCATTAAATATTTGCCAATTAAATTTTATGGCAACATCGGAGGAAATAAATGACACATCAGGAGAGGATTGTTGTAAATTTCCATTTACTAATTTAACCCGCGTCGGCCGTCCGTTATTCATAGAAATAAAGTCGTTATCAAGCGCCGCGTCCATAATATGTATACCTCTTGTGTCAGATTTTATAGACCAATTCGTGTGCTCCCGCACCCGCTATTATTGTCTTACTCGAGAAGTGTGAAAAAATATCATTCCAGTCAGATGGTCGAGTTTGTACGGATGAAGGACAATAAAGTGACACTACATATTCTAAGTCCTTGCAGTTTAGCAACTTGACACAAACAACTTCGATACCCACATTATTATTATTTATTGGTACTGGGTGAGATTGTACCGACTTGTGTACTAACACGGCTACACCACCGTAACCGTCAAATCTATCGTTCCTATACACATTAAATCCGCTAATATTTACAACATTTTCACAGTTAAGCCAGGTCTCGCTAATAATTGCGATATGTATATTTTCTCGTACTAAAAGGTCAGAAAAAGATACAAGTTTGGGACGTAAACTTTGCGAATTCCATTGAAATAAGTTAAAATTAACAACTTTTTGTAAACTATCCATTAATAAAACTATTTATGTTATTTGAGACTTCTTCTCCCAATATCAACTTAAATACAACATTTTTTAGTTCCTCCCAAATAATTTTAAACAAACATAAACATTTTTCTTCGAATTTGCTTTTGGAATTAAAAATACATTTTATTTTTACCCAGAGTTTCTTCCATTCAAATTTGTTTATTAGTTGTTCGCTCCTCTTCGTACTTTCGTTCTCTTTATGTGACATAAAAAATTCTTCGTCTACCCGCTGCTCAAAAATCTCATCCTTTTTATTTCGATTACTTATATTATTCTTGAGTTGTTTTGACTTTGTGATTCTTTCTTTTGTATTTGCCATAGGTTTTTCATTTAGCTGTATTTCTTCTTCTTCCTTTCTACTAGCCCGTGGTTCTTGATGTACAAGGGCTCTAGTCAAAACACTACTATAGGATTCTTTAATAAATTGTGGTGTAGGTGTAATAGTTGATTGAATATTTTGACTTATTTTTTCCTTCTTCTCCATATAACGTTTCAGGGCCTGTCTATATGTAATTTGTTCCTCACTCATAATTATCCTGATCGTTTTTTCTTTTAAGTAGGCTGGACACCTTTTGTCTAGGACAAAGTGGTTCCCATTGCAGTTTAAACACTTGAATTCTTCTAAGGTACAATTCTCATGATTTCCTCCGCATTTAGGGCAAACAATTTTTTTGGACGGACAATATTTAATCATATGCCCAAACTGCCAACAACGTGAACATTGCGTCACTGGAAAGATATATGCTTCTACTAAGAACCGACAGTCGTAAGCATAAACATATTGAGGTAGTGTATTTCCTTTGAAACTTATTCTTATAGACTCACAGTCTATCCATTTTCCTTCCAAATTAAGACGTTTTAATCTCTTAATTGATAAAACCTCCACGTTTGATTTTAAGATATTCTTAATCTCGACTTCATTTAGTTCAAGGTCAACACCTTTTACTATGCCGTAACATATCGTCATTTCCTGAGTTAATTGACATCGCAAACCCATTTCTAAGATTTTTTTACAGTCTAGTAATTTTACTGCATCATCTCTTTTCTGAAATTGAATCAAAACTTTATATGGGCTTTTGTATTTAATTCGCAAAATATTCTTTATGTTTTCACAACTAAGTAGTTTAGCCATAGCTATAGGTTTAGGTAGTTTCTCCTGAGAGGTAATACACACTTCTTGACTGTCCGATACTGTTGCCACATTCTCTTCAATCCCTTTGTCGTTCCTTGTTTCTGCAGAATCACTCCTTATCAAACGTTTTGGTCTCCTTCGGTTGACAGTAATGAAGCCGTCATCACTAGATTCCTCTTCTCGTTCCTTTCTCTTCTCTGCATAACGTAGTGCTCCTTCAGCGCTTTTTTCTGTCTTAGAAACTTCTACTTCCATTTCGTTTAGTTGTTTTTCACATCTGTCTATTATTTCCGAGTCGCTAAACTCCTCTCCGCTTGAGTTTTCTCCCATTTTACTCAAAATTTATTAGACGGGTGTAAGAAAAAAAAATGAGTCACTCGTTTAAGGTGCGAATGCAAAAGACGTACGCACAGCTCCCCGACTCGCGACACCAAGTAAATAGGGTTCATCAATACACATTTTTTTTTGAATTAAAAATATTCTTTTCGAATATTTGACGAAAACCACACTTCTCAAATGTAGAAACACAACGATTCTTAAATTATCAGAAATGAATAAATGACTGAACCCATTTTAGAGCTGTTAGAGATGCGTCTAGCTCAGATCTTGACATATTTTATAAGGTAGGTGACTCATTTTGTTTGGACAAACAGGTGGTATGCACATACTGTCCCTACGGCATTCATTTGTTTCAATTCATTATAATTTAATATTTTCCCATTGCTAGTATTTATTTGAAAATTGAGCTTGACAAATATTTATACTTTGGGTGACATTTAGGACAATTTTCACACACATCTAAAAGATTAATGTGGTGATTTGGTGATTTAACGTTGAAATAACAAAAATAACTGTTCATAGATAAAGTGTACATGGGCTTTTTGAAGAGGGTGGGTATAGACATGCGTTTCCAGTATTTTCTCAAAGTGGGAACCGAGTGACCTTGGGCAGTAATAAAGGGGAAACGGACAAAGGCTTTGTAAGTTTATAGGAAGATTTTACTTGAAAACTGAATGAAAAACTAGTTCTTGAACTTTTCTAATGGTTTCATGACATTTTTTATGATTTTAAATATGAAGGTCCCAAAACATCGATAAACTTTTCTTTTTAAGTTGAACAGTTGTCACACGTATCGAATTTTGCTGATGCCTTAATTTTAGTCACCTTGTATTTGAGTACCAATGCCAATCCCTTCTGTGAAAAAAATCTGAGGTACGGAGTAAATAATGAACTACGCAGATTTTTTTTTACTTTTTAGCTTTTAGTAATTTATTGTCGGGGAGGTCAAACATGAACGACTGAGGAGAAATCCATTATGGAATGGATCAAGAAATTTATGTAGAAAGCGACGTAAAAACCAAAAAGATAAAGCCTTTCGTACGTAACAAAATAAATATTTAGGCACGTTTCGTCTGTAGGGAAGTTTCAAAGCGTGGGCGAGTCTACAGAGCTACGAGCCAGACAGCGCGTAGGCGGCGTAGCATCGTAGCGTAGTCGCTCGTAGACCTAATACACGTGCTCTCTATGTTAAGCTACGAATAACTTAAAACTTCTGTTCTTATAAACTGCAAGTTCCTGTAATTTTTACTACTTACCCACTCCAAAGTACTGTAGACAGGCGATCCTTATCGAAAATCATGCCAATTTGATCATTATTTAAAAGTATTTCTATTACAAAAACTTAGAAACTTTAAACAAACTTTTTCCAAACATACATTTTTGTATCCCGATACAAGATCGCGGAGAGCTACGAGGTACACGGCTACCGCCATCGCGGCGATCGTCCGTCGACTGCTGCTTTCATCCCGCACGAAATTCCCTTCAGGAGTTAGGCTTGAATGGATCTGCGCTGTGATTGGTCGGGAGCGAGTGACGTCATAACGAAAATCACAACGGTATGGCCTCGCGGCCGTGTGTTGGGGTGGTGTATGTGTGGGTGAGCGGAGGCCCATGAATGGGCGCCTGCTGCCGCGCCCGCGGCGCGCCTCTCCAGCCCCCTGACGTCACCAAACGCCAGCCTCTATTATGCAACCCAGCATCTGAAATAGAAGCGAGATGTTATTAATAACTTTCAATGCATTCGCACACTTAGGCCGCCAATGCTTAATTTCTATTCGTGCTTGAATTTGTTTTGAGTACCACGTTAAGTAATCAGGACGCTTGAGGTGTGCGTAGATTGCGTTGTATTGTTATATATATATATATATACTTGATTAGTTAAATTAGCGAACATTACTAACTACAAGTTCAACAAAGAGTTTAAGTTGTGTTAATACGAAACTTAGTGATAAGTAGTAGGTATTAATTAATTTAATTCCGTTTATTTAGATTATTATACAATTTCCTTGAGAAATTATGTAAAGTAAATATTATTGCATACATCACATTTATTGTATTTGTGGATTCAAAAAAAGGATTACAAAGAGGTTTTATTATACCATCAGAATAGGAATTGACCTAAAACCAAGCCTAAAAAGATATATTTTTATTCGTAATATGCAACTCAGAATAATTCAAATTAAGAATCAATAAAAAAAATAAAAACGAAAATAAAACATTATAGATCTACATTAAGATTTGACCTTCGAACTTTGCGTATAGAGATCTGTTCTTAAAATAGGTTGGATGCGACAGGGTGCGTCCAGTGGGTCGTTGACCGATGCTGGGGGTTGGTCTCCCACGACGCCCGCGCCCCTCGCCCCCGCAATGACCCGGTCACGGTGCAACAAGTGGAGGTGTATCGACTCTGCCCGTTTGACATTTAGATGGAAACCTCGACTAGGGAACCTGAAATAGATTGGGTATGGTGCTAGGTGCTCTAATGGATAATGTTATTTTATAAAAGGACGGAGGTTAACTAAGATTTCCTATTAATAGTTAAGGAAATTTTATTTACTACTAAAATAGGACTTTCTTTAAAAATAAATGCATTTATAATTTAATATAGTTTTTAAATTTCGAACACCATTTATTTATTATCCTAATTTCCTTTTTAACATTTTTAGGTAGGTACATAAGGTACAAAATAGTCGCTTAGAAGGTCGTAATCGGGACCGACCTTGAAGCCCAAGGTCGAGTTGTAATCCCGCATTAGGGGGAGCATACTAGATTCCGCTTCTAAATAAAAGTAAGAACTGAACAAGAACAATAGCATAAAGTAAGTGATTATAAGTATGTAAGTAACTAGCAAGTCTAAAAGTCGCACTCAGAGATGCTTAATGTAGACTTATATTATTTCACAGTAAAGATTTAATGAGAAACATAATATTAAGTAATTATATACGTCGTGGTCGCCCAGAGGTTGAAGCGCCCGCTTCTCATGCATGAGGTTGCGGGTTCGAAACCTAGCAAGTACCAGTGTGACTTTTTCCAAGTTATATGTACTTTCTATGATTACTTAGACACCACTGACAAACGGTGAAGGAAAACATCGCAAGGAAACTTGGACTTATAATTTATAATTATAAGTTTGAAATCGCCAATCTGTATTGAGCAAGCGTGGTGATAAATGCTCAAACCTTTTCCTTGTGGGAAGAGGCCTTTGCTTAGCAGTGGGCACATACAGGCTGATGATAATATGTATTAAGTAATTATCAAGTACATATATGACCTTAAACTTGTCATATCGCATTCTGGAGAGGCTTGATTATAAGTAAATAAAAAGAAGAGAGAAGAGAAGGAACGAGGTGATTTCTAGTCAGTAAGAGTCTGACACTAACTCCTTCTCCACCGTAAGCGTCATTTGATGATTTTCCCCACAAAAAAACATCTCTATATATTTATGTATTTGCTATTACACTGGGTGTTTTGCTTAAGAGTTGAATAAGGGGCTAGCCATTCTACAATAGCACTCTCTGATAAATATTAATCTATTAAATTGCAATACCTATGTATATGTAGCCTTAATTTAAATATATATTGTAGTTGTGTTTAAAGAAAAAAATCTGCATATCTTCCAGGAGTTATCGGATAAAAATGATGATAGTGAAAATGTATCCATCTATTTAGTATATCTTTACTTCATTGTTGCGATATGGATACAAAATTGTTGATTGTGGGAATATTGACTGACTGCCATATTCAAAGACATTTAATAATAACCTAAAATATTCCTTACTGACGATTATATTCTGAGAACTACAGCTAAAACTTTGATTAGCCGGGGTTGTTAGTGTCAGTACAATAATGTATCATAGCCTGAAGCAGAAGAAGGAATGTTTTTTTTTGTCAGTAAGAGTCTCACACTGCTACGCACCTCATTAATATATTTTTCCAACCTCAATAAAAAGGTCTTAGGTGAGTAACTGAGTAACCATTAATTGACTCTGAGTACGGCGGTCAGACATAAATAATGTTTAGTAAAACCGATTAGGTTGTTGAAACTTCCAAACGTTTAGTTAGCCACTTTATCCCAAATCATAAACTGACTGGAGAAAGGTCAGCATAAATGACCCTACTTTGCTTATTAAGGAATCAAAGCCATGAGTTTCTAAAAATATCTTAAGTAGTAAAGAAAGTCTATGACAGTTTTGCTGGATCATGGGCATTTGTTGCATAAGAGGGGTTTGCCATTATCTCTATGCTTATCAGGTGTATTGAAGATATATATCTACTTGGAAAGGATTATATGATTAGTATACTCCGTTCAATGTATATTCATTTAGTTGGTTCTAATTATACACGCGGAAGATCAAGAGTAATCACTAAGGTCTTCTGCGAGGCTAACGACATTGAGAGAATTTCCTGAAGTAAATTTTTGTTAAATCAGATGTCGCTTTCATTTCAATATTACATACTTGAATCCGTGAATGAATCTTTAAAGTTATATTTAGACTTTTATTTGTTTCGAGTTTAGGAGTTCAAAATGGTTGCGTGGCTGACTGAATGCGTAGGAAGAGTTCTCTTGATGTCACAAAAAAGTAAACCAATAATATGTGACGTAATCCAGGTTAAAGTACCTCAATCCCGTCGTTTCATAACGTCATCGTTTATTTAAGAATATAAGATTATATTTAGGAGTTCGTGACGTATATTACATTATTGTTCTGATCCGTTTGCAATATATTTTTAAACACTTAAGTACAATCGCGAGGGTAAAGGTCACGAACGTGATTTCATACCATACTTACACACGTCTAATAAAAAGACAAAATACATTTGAAGAATAACATATTACCTTTGAAGGCTCTTTATTTTGTAAAGGTTTATCATGACGTAAATATAGCATTACACATATGATCTAGATTTGAATTCCTATTGCAATGTGACTTATAAGTCTATGTAGAATTCCAATCCGCTTTTACTACTTAAAAGACATTATATTTTTAATCAGGTATCAAATCATAACTTTGCTCACATAACGCAATGTCATCAAACACCAAATTCCACAAACAAAATCGATGTGAACAGTTTAAACACGGGGTGTTTTATCATAGTCCAGGGTGAGCCCATTCATCGCCAAGGCAAGTACGTGCGTCACAGGCAACAAGGACATTCTCCCAGCCTTGCAAGTGTGGGCCGTACTATTTGAACGCCCTGTATTTTAGTCTAATAATGGTGTTAAAGTTGAAACCTTCGCGGGTATTTGGTATGGTCTATATTGGAACAGCATGACTCATCGATTTGCGTTAACAATGAACACTGTGGTGTTAGTTGTCCAAGGCCACGGGTGATGTCTTACTTGCTTATAGGTTTTTTAGGTGATGTATGTTGAGCTGAGAAAGTGTTTCGTATTCAATACTTAATTGATTGATAATATAGGATAAGAGTTAAATTTTGATAATTGTATTTTCATTCATTCAGAAAGCTTTAGGTACAATGGTGTAAGTGAACAATTTAATGTATAATTAAAATGTTTTTCGGCAATTATTTACATCTCAGAATAGATCATTCATGCGTCACCCGAACGCAGGTGGAACCATGTTCGATTAACAAGTCCGAGCAAGAATGAACGAGCGCGCGTCACCCTGCGTGCTTCGATTCATGAATAGAGGCTTGCAACCCGGGATGACCTAGTTTTTGACTCCATAGCTCAACGCACAACACCATAACGCTGTAACAGCCAAGCTTCCTGATAAGGGATTCTCGTCACTATTTGATTACTTCTTGCAATTGTTATTGCGTGCATGTTAAATTGGAATATATACTTGTTGGGTTTGAAGGTATGGTATGACGTCAGTCGGTGCGGGGAGGGACTGCAGCGGTGGAATTAGGTCAGTTTCATTCTGAAACAGGTTCGGCGAGAACGGGGTGAGGCGAGGCCGAGGGGTGCGGCTTCGGCTCAATCGCGAATTTAGCTGCCACTAATTATTGTAGGAGACCACTATCAGAGAAGTAAATTTAGATTACACGGTCCTGTGTGTGTGTGGTGAAACTGATTAAAAGTTGTATTTTTATGGCTTTTCGAATCAACGGGATACTGTAAAATAAATTTATATTATAGACTCCAGTATCAACAGTCTACTTTTCTGCTTTTGTTTGAAATATAACAAAAGATACAACGTTATTTATTAGTTACTAGGTAAATATACCTATTGGCATCCATCGTTTTCATAAGTTGTAAATCCAGCTCTCCGGAGTCAGGATTAACCTAGTTTCTGCTAAAACTTTGATACTTCACTGCAAGGTACGCACGTAAATGTCATGACTGTTGTGCGCAATAATTACTTAATCTATGATGTTATTGTAAATATTCTTGAATCGAGTCATGTATGTGATTAGCGGGTTCAGTACGTTTGATTTAATTTTAAAATCGTGCTAAGTAATGTTATGAATTTATTTTGACTTTACAATAATCTTATCTTATCGACATAGCCCAAAAGATTAGCACTCTGAAGTAGCAGCGGCAGGTCACATTTGTCGGAGAGCCCATGACCGCTGGGGTAAAATTGTTCCAGAGTGGAGACCACGTCTAGGCAAACGTAGTGTAGGGCGCCCTCCAGCTAGGTGGACTGACGACATCAACAGGGTGGCTGGCAGTGGTTGGATGAGAAGAGCTGAACATCGAGCTCAGTGGCGTGCAATTGGGGAGGCCTATGTCCAACAGTGAACGACATTAGGCTGATGATTACAATAATCTTATTATTAAAAAGCGTGTGAATTGAAGCTAATCTTTGGTGATGAGCTTGCTTTATCTTAATCTTTAGATAGCATTACCTTTCTTAATTTTTAAAGGCGTAGTGTTGCACAAATTAAATTATGAACCCTCTTACAACATACAAACCATCAGGCTGATTACCTGATGGTAAGCAATAAGCGTTATCAATGGCAACCCGCAACAACGGAAGAGTAACGAGCGCGTTGTCGATTTTTGGGGATTTAGGAATTAGGGGAGGGGAAGGATTGGGCCTCCGGTAATCATCATATAGTCTCAGCACGCTTGCACAAGGCAGATTTCAGGCTTTGTTGCTTTTATTAATCGTATGTCAATGATATCTAAATATTCATAGAAAGAAGTCACATTAGTACTCACCAAGTTTCGAACCCTCATGCGTGAGGAGCTGCCTTAAGCTTTGGACACACGCAACATTGCAGTTCACCATAACATTGTTTTCATTTTTCATAACCTCTTCTGTTTAGCTTCACATGGAGGACATGATGGTGCATACGGTGGCAATGTGTCCTGTCTTGGTGAGCCCTACCTGTTGCTAGGCTCTGCTTGGGCTGAGCACCGCTGTGTACCGCAGGCAAGTTTGCGGTACTGGAGACCTTTGGCAACTGGTCTTAGTCGAGGCCATGGTGAGGATTGAGAGAAAGACTGGTCCCTTTCTCTCATTACCAGACCCGGACGTACAGGGCGTAGCGTTTCGCGCGTGCTTAAAAGCACATCAGACCACATTAGACAGTTAGGGTCCGCTAGGGCCGTTTTCAAGTTGAGGTTGCAGGTGCATGCGGCCACGCCTCGGAGTAAAAGATGGAAAAGAGTGGATTTTGACACTAAGAGTCTGACACTGAAGATTTTCACCACATGAGTACCTAGTCTTTTGATGATTGACCACTTCAAAAAATGGAAAATGTATTGTATAATTATACATTTACATTTTATAGTGTTCATCATCATCAGCCTATAAGTGCCCACTGCTGAGGCCAAAGGCAAAGGCTCTTCTCATACGGAGAAGGTTAGAGCATTAATCACCACGCTTGCTCAATGCGGGTCGGCGATTTCAAACTTATAATTAGAAATTATAAGTCCAGGTTTCCTCATGGTTACCTTCACCGTATGTCAGTGATGTCTAAATACTCATAGAAAGTACATGTAACTCGGAAAAAGTCACATTGGTACTTGCCCGGTTTCGAACCCGCACCCTCATGAATGAGAAACGGGCTCCTTAACCTCCGGGCCACCACGACGTGTGTGTTTATAGTGTTATTTTTGAGTATTATCTGTATAATAACAACCATTAAATAGTCGAGGAAATTATTACCAGTGTTGCATCTTTCATATACATATAAACTGTATTTAACATATTGATGTACAGTGACCTAGTAATCAATTTGACCCCTGCCCTATAAGTTTAGATGTTGCCATTTACCGCTCATCTGCTCGTAGTTACACTTTAAAACTGTGTTATCGAGACTTGCAGCTCAATTCACAGTAATCGAGTTTCTGTGACGGCCGGCTTGGCAACAGCACTCTATTTATTTATTTATTCATTTTATACAATGCAATACAAATCAGACATTCATTTTGGAGATTTAGGGATTGGGGAAGGATTGGGCTTCCGGTAACCTGGCTAACATGGCGAAACACGACGCTGCGGTTGTTTCATACCAGTTTTCTGCGAGGCCGTAGAATCACTCCTGTCGAGCCGACCCATTCGTGCCAAAGCATGGCTCTCCCATATTTGACGACGACTGTACAAGTGGGTATAAGGCTTATTTGTTCTTCAGCAAGCTAAGAATGCCTAGTCAGCGCCGTATAGAAGACTTCAGCGTTAGGTTACCTTAGGTAATATAAAGCCTAGAAACAGCTGCGACCACAATATGGCTTCGTGGCTAGCACCGGCTACGTAACAGAGTAAAACAGTTTATAATTCTTTCTATATAAAGTTTCATACAATGAAGTAAATAATTGGCTGGAGAAATGTATGTAAAAATATCTTTTTTTTATGGAATGCATCGGCAAATGAGCAGACTGGTTACCCCTTAGTAAACCATCGACGCTGTCAGTTGCCAATCTTTTGGACTTTGGTTTTGAGAATTGGGGCTTTCGGGGTTGAGGATAGCAGTGAAGGTAGGATTAGACCTCCGGTAACCTCACTCACACCGCGAAACAATGCAAGCAATAAGGCCCATTCGTGCCGAAGCATGGCTCTCCCATTGCCGGGGTTGCAGGGTAAGCGCAATGAGGCACCGGAGCCTCGTCCTAAAGCCGGAGAAGGAGTGAGGGGTTTTTAGTCAGTAAGAGTCTGACACCCTCTGTCACCTCACCCTGGATGGGAGAAGTCATTTGATTTCTTGAGGTTTTTTTATTATTTTTTTAATTTCCCCTGACAAAAAAAAGCATGGCTCTCCCATGAAATTAACCGATTGCTGATCTGGAAATAAGATACCATAAAAATATTGGTATAACATCAATAATCGTAAGAAGTCTAGAATAGTGGTCGATGTATGGCAACAGGCATACATATAAGAAAACTGATGAAAACTATGAATGTCATTTCATTTATGTACCTCTGTTTATTTATTTGACTGTTAAAAGTAATGATGTATTATCACAATATCGATATAACAATTTTCACCCAACAGCTCCATCAAAATATTGTTAAAAAATGTATATTATCATATCACATTCCAATCACTCATCGTTGGTACTGCCCTATGAATTCAATCCATAAGCTTTTAAATCAATTCATCAACGATCACTATGCAGCGTCCATTTTAAATAAAAAATGATATACCTGTACTCGTTTTTATTCTTTCATAGAGTCCTGTGTGCTGTGACGTCAAAGTGCAATATCCCGAAATAGGTGACCCGGATAGAGTGTTCCTCTGTGCACGCAGTATAGGAGCGTGACGTCATCCCCCCTCCTCCCTCAGACCGCTAGAGTTCCTCTAGGACGCCTGCTTTTGCTACAATGTTGAAACTCAAAGATCGAACGCGAGCAGGAACGGGATATATACTGGTTTTTTTTTTATTTTACTTATTACGTTACTTTTTGCTTCTGTGATTTCTGATTGTTGTAGTAATTACAAGGTTATTTGTAAGTTAGTGAAGTAGTTAGGTTTTAGTGGGAGGACTAAAAATAAACGTTGCTAATGGAATGTTAATTTTCTTATTAATATTTCTGTTTTGAGCCTTCTATCAAGCTTTTACCTTGAAAACATTCCTTGCATAAGTAAAATCGTACCCCTGTAAAAGTTTATTAGTTAGCTCGGTCTTTTTACATTATTGGTGTAAAGTAAAAGTAAAAAACCAATGTCAAATTCAAAGTAAAAAACCAATGTCAAATTCAAAGTAAAAAAACCAATGTCAAATTCAAAGTAAAAGACCAATATCAAAGTCAAAGTCGAAGGCAAAGCATTGATTTCAATTGCTGCATAATAGCTTTTAATTTTCGTAGTACCTGCTTCGTTATCATTGTCAAAACTAAGGTGCCTACAATATATGCTTATCGCCTTAGAACAAAGCGTGATGTTGAAATAAGTAGAAATGAGAGTGGCGCTATCTATTGGCGTAGGTTAATTACAGCGAGTTCTCTGTCTCTGCTGAAGCTTTTAGCGTTGAGATCGGTATTAAAATCGTTGAATTGACGTTAGGTGGCGTTGTTAATGAGACAGCTACCAATTTTTTTAAGACGTGTTTTGAAAATGGCTAGTATGCTTGCCTAATATTTTTTTTAATTAAATGGCACATACGATTTGTTTTTGTGAACAACGCCATCTATTGGAAATTTTCCACAACGTGTTAGACAGGAAAACGATGGGGCGTTACGTATGTCACGGTAGAAATAACCACAGCGCTTTATTACAAAAGTTCCCCTGTTTTGACAGATATAGCAATACTTTAGATCCCTCGATATTCCCAATGTTTAAAACGAGACACATACAGAAAACTTTATGAATTTAGTTATTGTTTCGCTGTAGTAGATGATGACGTCATTTCAAAGATGGCGCTATCTTTAAAATGATATCTGAGTGGGAAAATAATTCCTTTTTTTTCCAATAATCGGGTCAATATGGTTTGAACAAAGAATATGGTAATTTATGAATATTACCACTATCATTTGTGCATTCATTCCATGTTTTTGAATGGGACTGATTTTATGGAATTCTGTGTTTATTGCATTGTATACGCTCACGGTATGAGTACGATAGGTATTGTTTGTTCGTTGAAATCCTCTTCAATGTATGTATTGTATGGGTCTGCTATTGAACTAAAAGTTAATAAAATAGTCTTTATAAACATAGTTGTAAGTTTTGGTTTTTAGACATATTATGGTGGTGGTTTTTTGGTTACTGTTGATTTAAAATGTTATTGTTTTATAAAACAAAATATTTTTTATTTTTGTTTATTTAGAAAACCAACAGCGTTACATTTGATATATCACAGAGTATGCAAATTACAGTTTGTACAGCCAATAATAGGTTTCCCTGCTTAACAAATCAAAAATTAAATTAAAATGCGAACGGACTTAAACTTAAGAAAAAAAAACAAAAACAAGTTTTAGAGAAAATAATAAACAGAACCTTAATTAATTGTACAGAGTTAAGTTTCAAATCGAGTAAGTAAGACGGTTTCCAAATTACTTTAAATAATGGCTTTAATGACGATCTGTTTAAATTTAGATTTAGTGCAATTAAATAAATCAACCGAAGCGAAGTGTCTGTTGTATGTTCGAGCAATGCGGGTTAGTAAACAATTTTTTGCATAATTGGTCGTGTATCTTGGGACATGCAGCATTGGCGTGTGACGAGTGCGTCTTCTTGGAACGTTAAATATTATTTGCTGAACCAGCTCGGAGCAATCCAAGCGGCCATTAATGATATCGTACAGCAAACACATATCCAGTACCTTTCTACTTTAAAAAGCAAAAAATTAATATACTGAAAAAAATGATTACTTTGTTATTCATCATCTCCATACTTGCGACGATAAATTAATTATTAAATTAAATCTTTTTTCTGTAACGCCATAAACGAAATCTGTACATATTGTCAATGAAACGTTTCAAAAAAATTTTAGGTTCCAATTATCCTGTGGTTTATAGCTGTTCACATTTATGTAGTATTGTGTATTAACGGCGGCTGGAAGTTACTAAGCTCTCGGAATTATTAATGAGAAGCGTGACTTTCAATAGAATTAATTAATTTATATTAATTTTGTTAACTGAGCTGAATTTAGGTTTGTTTGTTTTACGATATAACTTGTCTTGTCTATGTTCAGTTTAATGACTTCGCAAATGATTAACTTGGTTTTGGGGTAATATTTTAGTTGAGAATCTGGGTACCTTTAGTTTAGGTGTCTTCAAGGCTAGAGTGAATAGGCTCTTAATAAACTAGTGCGCATTACCATCAACGATTGCATCTCTGCTTACCATCAGGTGGGATCGCAGTCAAGCACTAGTTTATTGCAAGTAAAAAAAAAAAACCTACTGAAACAATTAGTAGCTATATTCTATCTTTTGACTGCACGGTTGACGCGATCACCGCGGCCTCGGCCCAAAGCAGGAGAAAGGAACGGGGTCCTTCTCGGCCGGGGATATAGTCAGTAAGAGTCTGACACTCCCTACCGTCCAACCTTGGGATGGGAGAATACATTTACTGATTTTCTACTCACAAAAAAACCTGTTGATGTGGTGTCTGGGCAACTAGCTACTGCACAACGTGTCGCGGGTTAATTCCTCATGAAACAACTGTTTGTGTGATCCATAAATTGTCGTTTCAGATCTGGGTGTGATGTGTAAGTGTCAAATCGTATGTTTTTATAATAACTATCGTGAGACATACTAAATTAACTAAAATTCGCGGGTTACTCACGTGTACATGTTGAGAAAAGAAAGTAGATCTTCTACTAGTTTCGAACCACAGAGGGGTTCTTCCTCATGAGCAGCGTGCGCGGACGCGGCGACGTCGCGCAGCCTACGAGCTTTTCTCAACATGTACACGTGAGTAACCCGCGAATTTTAGTTAATTTAGTATGTCTCACGATTGTTAATGTCAAATCGTATCGTAAACATTTACATTTATTTAAAAAAAATATATGATTAACTTATTGTTTATTGAACAGCAATGCTTGCTTTATCTTAAAATAAACGAAACGATTTCGTTCCTAACTTATGTTCTGACTCACGTTTAATTTAAACATTCCAAATTTGAACTCGTAAGTCGTACGCCTCAATACAACCAGTAACATAAGGTTGCCATAATATAATAACGCGGCTATTAACGCGAAAAGTAAGTTTTTAAATACCCTTGGAAGGCTGGACGTTTCGATCTGTAAAATTAATTTTTGCGTTAATACCCGCGTCGTTATTAATATTATGTTAATATGAAACGCGACCGTTTAAAAGTTGGAACCAACATAAAGTTGTAATACATACATTTGTTAAAGACTGTTAAAAAGAGTCCCTATTATATCATACATCCCTTTTATTAAAAATAAAAAAAGGGGTACTTATGTGCAGCATTTTTTGATATGGTCAGTCGGCGAACGAGCAAACGGATTACCCGATGGTAAGCAATCAGCGTCGCCCATGTACACCCACAACGACGGAGGAGTTACAAATGCGTTGTCGACCTTTTGGGGATTTTGGGCAAGGGAACGGATTGGGGTAGGGGAAGGATTGGGCCTCCGGTAAATTATAAAACATTGCAGCAGAAATCATTTTAATACTATTTAGATCTGTTTTATCTCGTAGGAAGCAGTAGCAGTGGCAGTAGACATGTAATGAACAAAATACGACAAACAAAGTGCCTCGGGAATATTTTTTTAAATACTCTAAGAAATATTATAATACATAGGTAAAAAGAGTTGCATCCTCATTCGTCGGCATTTTACAGAACACGGCGACTCACAAAGCGGTGAATAAGTAAAGCTGTGGCGTGCAAGCGTTCCTTACTTGAGATGTAGTCTGGGATAGTGGGGATCTAAATTAAATTTTTGTCTTACTGCTCTTTCTAGGAAAGAAAAATGTTTATGTGCAATGTTTTGGGAAATTGGTTGAAGTGAGTTTTGAAGTAAATTGGGTGTTTCTTCGTTTTTTGAATAATGTCTTGGTGGGTCGGAGGTTAAAGCGCCCGTTTCTCATGCATGAGGATGCGTGTTGACCTGGCAAGTACTAATTTCAGTTTTCCCGAGTTATATGTATATTCTATGGTTTTTTAGACTCTATTCACATAAGGTGAAGTAAAACATTGTGAGGACCTGGACTCTTAATTTTTTCTTCAATCCGCTTTGAGCATTTTTTTTTTGTGAGGGGAAAATCATCAAATTACTTCTTCCGCCCAGGGCTGGGCGAGGGAGAGTGTCAGACTCTTACTGACTAAAAACCCCCTGTTCCTTCTCTTGCTCTGGGCCGAGGTCGCGGTGCCTCATTGCGCTTACCCGCAACCCCGGCTGAACATCAGCCCTATATGGGCCCATCTGTGGCGGTCTAGTGGCTCTTTGAGGCGCGTGCGGATCGCTACGCGCCGTACGTCCGAGATCCGCTTTGAGCATGTGTCTTGATTAATGCTCAAACCTCCTCCGTGTGAGAATTTTCTTGTTTCTGTTGTGCTTAGGTATAAAAAAAACATTACGCCCAGAGCTTAAAGGGCAGGTTGGCTATCACTCTTATTTATAAATTGTCCCATTCGGATCGAACCCATTACTTGGCGTTGCAGTAGTTTGAAGTAAACTGCGTTCCATCTCAAATTCTTATTTTAATAATCATAAATATAAATAAACAATTTTGAAAAAGTGATTTATGTCTATTTAAATGCAAAACCAAAATATTTTATCATATTCAACGATTTATCATTTCAATTTTCCAAAACAAAAATCCATAAAGAAAATGCATTCCAATTTCGAACGCTGTGGAACGCCAAGAACAACACACAAAGAAAATGGCGCCTGATTAACCATACGCAAGAGTTCTCCATATGTGATTTTCGGTTCATCTCCCGCGAATAATAGCTCCATCAATCTTCCAAATCCATGTTTATATTATCCCTTCTCTTTCTCCGCAGGGGATCGTCATTATATTACAAGAGTTCGTTCAATTTTCATAAATCCTTATTTGTCACGTTATTCCTCTGTTAGCATGTGCAAAACGAGTTGTGTTATCAAATTGCTTTATGGTAATTATGCTTTTGCTCCAAGATTATACAAATCATTTAAGTACCTACCACGCTTATTTTTTTTAAATCCATTTGAAGTAAAATGTGCCAAGAAGCTGATAAAAAAATTTCATCTACTTGATGTTTAACATTGAGCCTAAAGACTTGAAAGAAATTTCACAAAAACAGGCCTAGTTGTAATGATATCAAGGTGAATATTCTCTTAAATATCAAAGACATTTTCTAGGGAATATATATTTTCTGTGTTGTAAGGTAATTTTTTTGTATTCGAATTAGCTAGTAATTTGCTGGGAACCTTAACATTATTTCGTGTATTTTCTCCTGTGTATTATGAACGTAAAAGGTTAGGTGAACTTAGGAATATATATTTGTTGGCTAGTACAGACATAAACAAAACCTTATCTGTTGTTTTTTTTTTCAGTCTAATTATTTGTAAGCGAAATACTTTTCAAAGAAAGTATGAGAATAGAGTACTTATAAAATGTTGTATTTTCTTTCGTAGGATAATCTAAATTGTCTCAAAATAGTCTCTCAATCTGCAAAACTTTTTTTATATACATGAAATGTATTTTTAAAAATCGTTCACCAAATCCCAGTATCAGAACGGATATTGCGTATCAGATTAGGAGCGTGTTGCTATAAGATTTTGGAAGACATTGTTTTATATGCATAAGATATACCTACATATTTTATCTCGGGAATCTATTATTTCTACATTACGCGGATGTCTTTTGATGGAAAATATAAGAACATATCTGTTGTTTTTCCCCATGAACAATAATGGAAAATTTATTTTACGAATATCCATGTGAATTAACTTTTTTGTTTTTATGAAGTGAGTTAATTTTAAGTTTTATGAGTTAATTTTCCAAAAAATCTGTCAATATTTGGGAGTATGATTAAAAATTCCTACCTATGAGACATAATAGAATATAGTTACCGGTAAATAGATATATATATGTATATGTATTGAACAGGACTTTGGGGCCTCTTTCACCTTCCTCATGTAAGAACTCTATAAACTTGTGTGGCATATAGTTTACATAAATATATTTATTCTTCCATATTCATTTTATATTCATATATTTTTTTATGTGATAGGACCGCAATCGGACACACCGATTACCTGTTGGTAAGCAATCAGCGCCGCCCATGAGCACCCTCAAACAATGGATGAGTTACGAGTGCATTGCCAAACTATTGGGGATTAGGGATTTGGAGATTTAGGAACTGGGGAAGGGAAAGGATTGGGTCTCCACTAACCTCACTTACACGGCGAAACACAACGCTATGATTCTTTCACGCTGGTTTTCTGTGAGCTGTATCACTGCGGTCGAGCCGGATAGCAAGGCAAAAAATACTCTGGAACTACTAAAGAATAGGTCTTTGCATGCATAAACATGGCTCCCCCACACTATGTGATACATAGTGGGTATGCAGACATTGTGAAACAGGCAATGGTGTAAGTAAGTTCCAGAGTATTTTTTAAAGCAGTAATCCTAAAATTTTTGTTCGAAAACGTTCGTATATTGTATTTATAGCTTTTGTTCCTGACAATACTGGTTCTTTTCTTAACGTTCTTTTAGAATAGTTACTGTTTCTGTTGCCTAAGTTTTTTGTTTGCCCAATCATTGTAGATATTACTATTTGATCATGATATATTTCATTGAGGTTTTGTCCTCGGGCGCCTTGTATTTATCCTTCATTACTCGCCCACGACTATTATAAAGACCTTGTCTCCTACTTAGTTTTTTTTTTAATACCATGTTACATGAACACCTTTAATATTTTATGGTACCTACCGACTTGGGTGGGTGGTAATTTGATATTAAATTGTTTTTTTTCGATGTACAATTTAAGGACTGATTTAATCCATGAATTTGTTTTCAATGGTAAATAATTTATATGAAGTTTTGAAAAGGCTCATATAGTTTGTTTTAAAAATATTTAGCTATGCGCATGACATAAGTATGCCAAATTTGTTGCGTCTCAATAAACGTAAATTAAAAAAGTTTCGTAAACTAAAAAACTCAGTTTAAGTAGTACCTACTTATGCATGTGTTATTAATAAAATAATAAATAAAATACCTGGTCACTAGTTTTAGTAGTCTTCCCCAATATCAGAAATTATATTTATTTTTAAATTTTTATACCAAATCCAAAAAAAGTATTCTGATGAATAATGCATGGAGATGTTGGTTGTAATCGATTGTAAAATGTATTATCTGTTACCTGTTAGGAATAAATAATTGGCTGCTATAATGTGTGTTAAATGTCCTTAATCAGTTCATATAAATCGCTAAATCCCAATTTGTATTAGACTAAGAAAATACTAGAAGTAAAAACAAAGTAAACATACTTTAGAAATATTATTATTAAAATATCTATTTCCTGCACAAATATATCATCATTCTAGTACCAATACCAATTAATAATTAAAGTCATATTTTAGTGTCGTGGAATAAGTTTTGGAATTTGAATAAGAATTTACTCGCCATAACTAGGGTAACAATTCAAAACAGGACGTTAACTGTCACTTGCATGTCAACTGTCAGTGATTTACAATGTTTACATCTGAGTCGACAGGTGACAGCTCTATCGCAGTCTTGAGTCTCGGGGGACAGACTATCTATCCAGCTATTATAACCAATTAATAAAAGGTTAAAATATGAAGAAGGTTTACATTTTTTTATTGGAAAGAAGTTCCTTATCATGCTTGGTCAAATGGGGGTAGATGGAAAAATTAAGACAGAAAAGTTGTATCGATAGTTTTTACTATCTTTTTCTTTCCTTCTCTCTCTCTTTCTGCCTCTCTCTTTTAAAGAAAGTAAGCAAGTTATTTTCGTTTCGTCTGTCTGTTTCTCATTGAACAATGTAGTGTATGTCGCAACGAGTATTTTTATTGAGTGTATAGGTACAGGTTATGTTAAAATTAGACTATACTTTTAACTTGTTATTAAAAAATATAACTTAAAATAATATAATTTTCTAACAATGCTCCAAATAATCCAAAGGAGCTTCATTTCATTTCTTTTTTGTTAGTAATACTTTTTTTAAGAGTAGAGTATAGATACAATTTACAATTTACTAATTTTCTTATTAAATACACACGTTAAGTTGTAATTATATCCACTAAGCAATTTGCCCATCCCCGGGAAAAGATGGGCAAGTGACGTGAGCTGTAAAAGCTTCCTGGGGCTACTGGATTCAACATTTTTAATAGACAGTTTATTTAAATTCGGACCATTACACAAGGAAAAGGCTAGAGCTGAATTTATTTACGAACCAATGCATATAAGGCCGGCACAATTTAATTAGTAACTCTGCAAACCTTATTCTACAATTTAAAATATTTTTTTAAAAAGAAATCTCGTTCGTTTTAATTTAGATTCGATCTTGAATCTAAGTTCACAATGAATCTTGTCTCTCTTTGTCCTGTTAGAGACGGTCCCAAGGTTTATCGGTTCTGCAGACGTTGCAGCAGTGACATAGTAGTGTTTCTACTTAGCTGAACGGGCCCCAATCTATAAATGGTTTTATTGGAGTCGCTAGCACAATTTAGAATGGGTTTTTCATTGAATTTTATGGTGGTATGTATTGAACCAAACTTAAGAGAAAATAAAGGGATAGCATGTTTATTATTGGTACGTTTTTATACACATTTTTCTAAGGATTATAGTGTGATATACTTAAAAGAGGTCTTATAAATAAGGTTCGTAATAACAAGTTTTTAAATGAACATTCTTTTGTTATCCAAGAAAATTGAACATATTACAGTTTTAAAATTGTCGAATAGTGACAGTATAACTATAGTTAGGTATTTCAAAAATATTTTTCTAGATAACAGATTAAAAAATGTCAGTAGCATTTTCACTGCAACTGCGTAGTGTTTCAACGTCGAAATAAACGCAGATTGCACTATTCAGAATATATCGAAATTTTAACGTCACGACAATTTTTGTAACAACCCAATTACGAAAGTTCGAAATGGAACATTTAAATCGAAGTTCGAAAATATACTTAAAATAAAATTATCGCTGGAACATTGACGATAATTTGCATAAAGGATTTCGACTTTTTGTATTAATTTTACACAAAAGTTGAATTGAATTTAAGGTTATTTTGTGCGTCACGAAATATGTTGATAAGCGCAACTCAACAACGTCTGGACAAGTTTTGGCTTTTGTGGATGCAAGAGCAATAGCGTACCGCGTCCCGGTTCAGATTAGGAGAAATAACGTGGTAGTTTTTAATCAGTTTTACATTACACAACATTTCTGTAGAAATTTCTAATAGCAACTGTAGGATTATTTCTAAATTTTAAACCTGAAAAGTCACTCCTTAATATAGATGTATAAACAGAACATGACACGCTGTGCT